CTGTCATCATAACAAACACCATTGTTGATAAATCCAGCATCATAAATAATAAATCTACAAATTTATAATTAATCAACCATCAAAAACAAAACAAAAATTTAACTATGCCAGTAAAGTTACATAATTTGGTAAAAAAAATAAAACCATCTTAACTATTATTTGAGAAGCATGTTTAATGAAAAAAAATCTAATATGTCATCACCTTAGCAAAAGTTAGTGCAAAACAATGCCACATCATAAATGTGACATGACAAATTTCATAAAAAAATGAAATATTTTGATTGGTTAAGTTAAAATTAAATAAATCTTATTTTTAAATAAGAAACATTTATATCATATATAAATGAATTCTCATTATATAGCAAGAATTCAAAATTATAAATAAAACAAAAAAATAAACAGATAGAAAAATGAATTATAAGTATCCTCTTAGCTAATTTTTTATTTTATTATAATACAGTATATATGAATAAAAAAAAGAAGTAAAAGTACAAATAAATAAATACGACTTTGATTTTATGTAAAAATTTCAGGCTATATTTTTGGTTTTAAAGCACCTTCAATCCACATTTATTTTAAAAAAAATTAATTTAAAAATATTATCTTACACATATTAATTCTTTAATGCATAGATTTTTCTAACATATTAAAAAAATATTTCATGAACCAAGTTTTGTATATATTGTGATCATTTATATTTTATATTAAAAATATATTAAAGTTAGAAACAGATCAACTCTTAATTTATAATAATAATTAAATATTAAATATATTATTTTGCACCTTAAATCATACACATATAATTGTAGATCCAATTGGTTTAAACGATTCGGTTACAGAGAGTTTGTGGAAACGAGCGATTGCGGATTATAAAAAATTTGACAAAGAGATGAGCATAGCTGTACCCGAGAATTTTAATAAAATGTGATTTTAAAAATTTTATAATAAATTTTTATTATAATTTTATTGAGAAACCATATATCATTAAACGCTGAAAAACAAAAAACTTTGATTAAATACAAAACGATAGAAACGATTTTTGTGATTGTTGTTAAACGTCAATAACTGCATCGTGTAAAAACATAATATTTCCAGAAAATACCAAAAAAACTTATCAATACCTAAATATTACAATTAACTTATTTCTAACTCATCTATTTAATATTATTATTTAAAAAAAATCAACCATACAATATAAAATTATATATTACAAAACATATATTTTGTTATTTTCTTTTAACACATAAAAGCCATATTTTGATTTTCTTACAAATAGGTGTGTAGATATAGATATTAATTGTGCAAATGTCAAACTCGAATGCAAACTTGTCGTGCATACATTTTCTTAACCTCGATTACATTCTAATTTTAATTTTAGATGTTAGACAATTTATATTTTTTTAAAAATCTTTATATGTCCTAAGAGCGGTAAGGTGGTTGGTTCGCACGAATATGCGGACCAACCATCTACTCGCTCTTAGGATAAATAAATATGGTAGAATTCATTTTGGTTTGATTAGCAATAAGTCAAAAAAATGTATACTTAAAATATGTTTATTGACAAGATTATATTACGTAAAGAGAAAAATAAAGTATTATATAAATATTATTTAAAACATATTACAAGAATTTAATTATTATTTAATATAACTTTACATTTGTAATTATATGTTATTGTAAACACTAGGAAAAATAAGAAGTTTTCAAACGACAAACGATATGAAACGTTTGTGTTATTGTTGTTGAACACTAAAATTGTATATGTATAAAAACATAACATTTACATAATGTATAAGAAATTTAATCAATGCTTAAATATTACAACTAATTATGTCTATTAAACAAATTATACTTGCACATGCGTGCGGACCAAAAGTAAAAATTAAATAAATTATTATATGTTTTAATATTTTACTGTTTATTTAGTTATCATATTTATATTTTTTATCCGAAAAAATATTTTAAAATCTTAGTTAATATTTTTTATCTTCATTTTCTATTGATATATAATATTTTATATTTAATTTATCGTTTTTAATTGTCAAATGTTTATTATTTTATTATTAATATATAATTAATCATATATAAATAAAACATCTTCAATACTATATTAATCATAATTGAATATATAAAAACTTTTATAGCCTGCACACGGTGCATGCCGATCACCTAGTTTTAATAATTAAATAATTTTAAAATTATTTGAATAACAAATTAACTTTCCAAAACTGTTCTAATAAAAAAACAATTATAAAGTTACTCAAAGTTCTTTTTAATTCTCTAGAATCTATACTTATCATTTCTATACTTAGCTATCTTTTATTTATTCAATCTACGAACAAAAAATATATTTACGAAATATTATTAAGTCAATCATCACTGTGCCAACAAACTTACGTAATTTGGTAAAAAAAATTAAAACCATTTTTATAATTAAATAATTTCAAGTTCATCAACACAACAATAACATTAAAGTCTCTCCATGCCTTGACACTTCAGCTTTTTTAAGCTTTATAAACATGACACCTCAGCAAAAATAATCATCAATCAAAACATTTTATTAATATATCTCATCTACTTATTTTAATTTTTAAACTTAAACCCATTAAAACCCCAAATATTTTTTCTATTAATTTTTGTTTTATTTTTTTACCAAACCCAAGCCCAAATAATTAATAACAGCAAAAAAAAAATTATTAATTTATTTTTTACAAAATCCAAATCCAAATAATAAATAAAAACAAATAAAAAAATTAAATCATAGTTTTCTTTTTTTTTGCCAAAACCAAATCCAAATAATAAATAACAGCAAATACATAATAAAAAAAAACTCTAGCTATCTGTTTGTTTGACATAGACGTATATGATTGAAAAAGTGTAGGTTCAACATCAACTGTGCTTCAACAATGCAAAAAGTCTTATGTTATAAGAAGCTCACACATCAGCAAAAATTTGAACCGATAAAAACATAACAATTTCTTAGTTTTCGCGGGAAAACACAATTTCACGGGAGATAATGCAATTTTTAGTTTTCGCAGAAAATTGTAATTTATTTGTTTTTGTAGAAAAGCGTGATTATGGGCTTGACGAGAAAAAGATTTTTTTTTTGGCAGGAATAGACGATTTTTCAGTTTTTGAAGGAAAAATAAATTTTTCGATTTTGGCTGAAAAATACAATTTTTTTTTGGTTTTTGCAGGAAGATGAAATTTTTTAGTTTTTATGAAAAAAATATAATTACTCGACTTTGGTGGAAAAACACAGGTTCTCGGAGGAAAATGAAATTTTAGGTTTTAGGTTTGACGAGAAAATAATTTTTTTTTGGTTTTGGCAGAAATAGCCGATTTCTCGTTTAATAGGAAAATGAAGTTTTTTTGTTTTGACGGGAAATGCGTTATCTCGATTTTTGTAAGAAGATGAAATTTCTATGTGCTAAATTTCCAAGTTAAAGTATGTTTACAGTAACCAAAATTAAATTATTTAACTTTAACTAAAACAATATTTTAAGAGTTCAAACATAATTTTCTATTTAGTTCTAAAACAATAGCAATGGTTTTGATATGAATGTTATTGATTATAGTTTGGTAGTTTTAGAAACATATATAAATAAATAAATATTTGATCAATAAATAAATTTTATAATTCAAAATAATTATATTAATTAATAAATCTATTTTTAAATGATATTTTGCTTTATATAATTACAAATGAGGATCATGTGGCAATTTATTAGAGAAAATAGATTATATTTGCATTAGCATGAAGGTACTAAAAATATATTGCTTTACTCTTATATATTTTATTCCTATATATACATTTATAATTAGTTAGCTAACTAAATTTAATAGCAAATTATAATTTTGAAAAATAAAAAATATATAATGTTTATTCAGATTTAAAACATATAAATACATAACTTAAGCTAATAAAAAAATAAATATAATACTCATTTACATTATAAAAATAATTTATTATATTAAAAATATATATAAAATTTAGAAAAATATCCCGCAGCATAACGCGGATAAATACTTAGTTTGAATAACAAATTAACTTTCTAAAACTGTTTTAGTCAAGTTCTTTTTAATTCTCTAAAATCTAAAATCTGTACTTATCATTTCATAGTATGTGGGCCGGGGTCTTTTATCCCTCTGTTAAACAAATAAAATAATAATTGTGGTGTAAAAAGAAAAACAAAAATCAGTAAAGAGTCTCTTAAGCTTTTCGAGGCGAAGAAGAATCAAAATCATCCAAAATCCTTCAAGTCAAGTTTGGGTTGTGTGTTGCTTCCTCTTCTGATCTTCGATTCTCGTTTATCTTCCCCAAATCGGGTTTCATGGCGATTCTCCACCCCGATCAAGCTAGCTCAAACGGTATCTCTCCCTCCTCCGCCTCTCACTGTATATCTTCTTCATTGTGTTGAGTTTCGCGAGAAAATTGGTGTTTTCTCAGTTTTTCTCCTCATTTCGTTTCGCTACAGTCAATGCATGTCGTCTCCGTACCTGGTTACTCAGTTCTTTCTCAATTTCTTCCGATTATCTGCGCAAATTATGAGGATTAAACAGCTTCTGAAGAATTCGCTATTCATGATTGTGAGCGAAACGAGTATTGATAGTTTAGACTCTTTCGTTTTCCTCAACTTTGTGTCTATGTGATTGAATGCAATTTAGGGTTTGTAATTAGAAAATGGCTCGACTTCCTTTTGTCGTTTCTCAGTTTTTCTTCTGATTTCATTTCGCTACATTGAATGCATGTCGTCTCTGAACCTGAATACTCAGTTTTTGTCTCAATTTCTTCCGATTATCTGCGCAAATTATGAGGATAAAACGGCTTCTGAAAGATTCAAAATTCGTGATAGTGAGAAAAAGGAGTATTGATGGTTTAGACTCTTTCGTTTTCCTCATCTCTGTGTCTCTATGACTGAATGCAATTTAGGGTTTGTTATTAGAAAATGGCTCAGCCTTCCTTTTGTTGTTTATTTGGCGAGTATTGTGACTATTAGGGCTTACTTTGCAATCTGATGACAGGGTTCCATAAAAGAAAGTTCGATGATGAACTCTCTATCGTCTCTGTTACACCTGAAGTTAAGCGGCCAAGGAGGTCATCATCTAAAGTTATCGACTACTCTCAACCATTTGCCGTCAGTAACATGCTTCAAGCTTTAGATGGTGGTAAGTTTGGAAGTGTTACGAAAGAGCTGGAAGAAATTGCTGATATGAGGCTGGAATTGGTGAAGCATTGTATCTCGAGGTACCCGTCGCTGGCGAATATGGAGTTCGGAGAAGGCAAGAGACAGAGGATGGAGCCTGTGAGTTTGGAAAATCCACAGGTCGTGGAAGGTGTCATCGAGTTGGATGATGATGATGATGATGATGATACTGCTGCTTCAAAGAAAGCTCTCTGTGTGGTTCCTTCGAATGAGATTGTCATTCTTGATTCTGATGATGAAGACTGTGAGAGTCAGAGGCCTTCGTATCCGTTTCAGTCAAGTCTTGTGCTGCATCATAAGAATCAAGAGGATGTGGTGCCAGTAACTCCGCAGGTCTTTTTCGATGATGTCCTTTCGGGGAACGGAAAGGAGTTGTCTTTTGCCGTTAAACCCATGGATGTAAGTTTCTTTTTCCATCAAGCTATGTGGTAGTACTACGTTTAAAACTTGATTGAAGGTTACAAGTTAAATGTTGTCATCTGTATCTACAAACTAGCCATTCAAGAGGTCGACTTCTTTTTTTGTTTTTGTGATTTTCACAGGAGGGACAAACAAGCAGAGACAAAGTCCTCCCTATAGAAAATGGTATGGTTCATGACAATGGTGTCTACATGGGACAAACAAGCAGAGACAAAGTCCTACTCATAGAAGATGGTATGGTTCATGACAATGGTGAGTACGTGGGACAAACAAAGAGTGACAAAGTCCTTCCTATAGAAAATGGTATGGTTAACGATAAAGGTGTCTACGTGGGAGTTGAGGAAGATGACAGTGATGATGAGTCTGAATCAGCAGATGGGGATCTTGGTAATATCTGGAATGCAATGGCCATGGAAATAGCGTTTTCCAAGGTATATATATATATATATATATATATCAACATTTGTTTTTTAATCTCTATGCATATTGTTTTTTTTGGTACCACTGTTCCTGCTTTGTTCATTTGGATCACAATAAACGTGCAGGATGGAGCCGGTGAGACTTCACCTAAGGAACCAAAGGCAGATGAAGTGGAAGACTGTGAGCACTCGTTTATTCTAATGGATGACATGGGTTATGTTTGCCGTGTCTGCGGAGTTATTGAGAAGAGTATTTTACAAATAATTGATGTGCAGTTCAGTAAAGTGAGTTCTTCTTATTCTGATAATACTAATCTATTTTCTGATTCGATGGAAAAGTATGTTTCTTGGTGTGCAACTGAAGTGGTTGAGCTTCTAATCTCTTTTTCGTATGATTTTCATTGTAGGCGAAAAGAAACACGAGAACATATGCCTCTGAAACTCGGAATAAAAGGTTTGGCGAATCTGATGTTGAACTTAAGCTATCTGAAGAAGGGCTGATGATAGGTGGACTTTCGGCTCATCCGACGCATGCCATCAAAATGAAGCCTCATCAAGTTGAGGGGTTCCAGTTCCTTTGCAGCAATTTAGTGGTAGATGATCCTGGTGGTTGTATCATGGCGCATGCTCCAGGTTCTGGAAAAACCTTCATGATCATCAGTTTCATGCAGAGCTTCCTTGCAAAGTATCCACAGGCTAAGCCGCTGGTTGTGCTTCCAAAGGGAATTTTGTCTACATGGAAGAGAGAGTTCGTGAGATGGCAAGTTGAGGACATACCACTTCTTGATTTCTACAGTGTTAAAGCAGACAACCGTACACAGCAGCTGGCTATTTTGAAACAGTGGATGGAGAAGAAGAGTATTTTGTTTCTCGGGTACAAGCAGTTCTCAACTATTGTATGTGGAGGTGATGATGATGCAGCTACAAGTACCGACTCGCGTGCTTGCCAGGAGATACTGCTCAAAGTACCTTCGATCCTCATTATGGACGAAGGGCACACTCCAAGGAATGACGAGACTAATATAGTGCAGTCCCTTGGCAAAGTCCAAACACCAAGGAAAGTTGTACTCTCAGGAACGCTTTATCAGAACCATGTCAAGGAGGTTTTCAACATTTTGAAACTCGTTCGACCCAGATTCCTCAAACTGGATACCTCCAAGTCTATCGTGAAAAGGATCTTGAGCCGTCCTCATAAATCCGAGGTCAGGTCTCATTTGGGAAGCAACTCAGAGGTGTCTTCGGCTTTCAATGAATTTGTGGAGCACACACTGCAGAAAAGCAAGGACTTCAATGTGAAAATTACCCTGATCCAAGATTTGCGAGAGATGACAAAGAAAGTGCTTCATTACTATAAAGGAGATTTCTTAGACGAGCTTCCTGGACTTGATGATTTTACCGTCGTTCTTAATCTATCCCCGAAACAGTTGGCTGAAGTGAAGAAGCTAAGGCGTGAAAAGAGAAAATTCAAGGTTTCGTCTGTGGGAAGTGAGATTTACCTTCATCCAAAGCTGCACGCTTTCTCTGAGAAGACTGATGATATCTCTGATGCAACCATGGACGAAATGCTAGAGACGCTAGATGTGAATGAAGGCGTCAAGGCAAAGTTTTTCCTCAACTTGATAGACCTGTGTGACTCAGCAGGCGAGAAGCTCTTGGTCTTCAGCCAGTATCTCAAGCCGCTCAAGTTTCTTGAAAGACTAGCTGCTGTATCCAAGGGATGGAAACTAGGGAGAGAAGTCTTTGTTCTTACAGGCAAATCCAGCCCCGAGGAGCGTGAGTTGTCAATGGAAAGGTTTAACAATTCGCCAGACGCCAAAATCTTCTTCGGCTCGATCAAAGCCTGTGGAGAAGGAATCTCACTTGTTGGAGCATCTCGCATACTGATATTGGATGTTCCTCTAAACCCTTCTGTGACACGCCAAGCGATCGGAAGAGCTTTTCGACCCGGACAAACGAAGAAGGTGCACGTGTACAGATTGATCGCTGGGTCATCACCTGAGGAAGAGGATCACAACACATGCTTCAAAAAAGAAGTTATCTCGAAGATGTGGTTCGAGTGGAACGAGTTCTGTGGATACCAGAACTTCGAGGTAGAGACAATCGATGTGGATGAAGCTGGTGATAGGTTCCTTGAAAGCCCTTCCTTAAGAGAAGACATAAGAGTTCTCTACAAAAGGTAAAATCAGTTTATGATCAGATCCACACATAAGTCATATATCTCTCTGTTGTTAAATTTCCTCAATGCTCCTTTTCTCAGGTAAACGTCGGAAGAAGCTTGTTCTTCTGGTTTTGGACATGCTTAGTATAAGATAACATCAGGTAGGATCCTTTTGTAACTTTGTGAAAAAAATAGTTAAACTAAGTGTTTTTAAGTGTAGTTTTCATGCCAAACCTTTTTGGTTTAATGGCTTTTAGTAACCGTAATTAGTCCTTTCATATTAATATAACTAAGAAAGAACAAATCGTATCAGATTGTGTTCACCATGATCTCAAAGTTTTCCTCTTTCATCTACAAAATTCATATTTCTGGTTTACTTTCACCCAAGAATATATTACTACACCGTTAAGCTACAAAATCATGCAACAGCTGCGAAGATCCGAGCCGGTGTTGGCCGTTACCGGAGTTCAAGTACTGGATGGTATTCTCGTAATTATCTATCCCACCGGACATAGGTACATCGCCGTGAGCTCTCACGTCGGAGTTCTGAATCCCCAACGTTAATGACATACCACCACTACCATCTCTTGTCATCTCAGTCACCATCATGAACCGGTCACCACCAGAGACCACCGTGCTACTGCTTGCCACGGTGTTGGAACAAGACTCGATCTGCTGTTCTTGAATCTCTGCGGTTTCTTGTGTGTTTTCAGAAGACAAGTTGGGACCATTCTCCTCCAATGCGTCTGTGAACTCCTCCTTGTACATCTCCTCCACCATCGGTTTCCACAGACGCACACGGGCGTTTATGAACCAGTTCGACACCTTTCAACAAATCAACAAAAAATGAACACAACAAACAAACAAACAAAGAGAAGTTTGATGAGAGGAAAGAAACAAAACCAACACTACAATACCTGGCCTCTGCTCAACCCTGTTTGTCTAGCTAGCATGATCTTGTCTGAATCCTTTGGATAACTAAGAAAACACAACTGGTCAGAATCTTTAGTGATGAATCAAATCAACAATTCACAAGTGTAGTAGAAGAGACTTACGGGTGGAGGAAATGCTCAAAGAGCCAAGCACGGAGAACCAAAACGGAGGAATCAGGTAAACCGCGTTGAGGACGCCAAGTGTGCGGTTGCATCACGCCTAACCTCTGCAACGCTCTCTGTTGCCTTACCTGTTGATCAACATTCCTTAACCTGCTTATCCCAACTACTTTCCCATCCAATCCATCATGTTCTCCTCCTAAACTTCTCCTAATCACCAAGATCTGTCCGGATATGGCGTCTCTTAAGCAACGGAAATGCCTAGAGATGGTCTGAAGCGCAAGGGCTGTGTACGGTTTAGCTGCTCCACATCCGGCTATTACATCGAAGGATGACACAACTATCTGCATCTGATGGTAATACTGCTTGTATCTTCTATCAACCTTTAGACAACATTAGTAACAAACAAGCAGCATTTATGTTATTGCCAAGAGATCAAATCATTATGAGCATAGAAGAGATGTTTTTTAAGTGGATTTTTACCTCGTCTAATATGGATAACAGTTTCGACAACTTGCTCTGTAGTTCTTGTCTCTCTCCTTGAGGTATATCAGGATTCTTGCTCGATTCTTGAAGGTTCTTCTCTTTCTCTTCATCAATCTTGTCTCCCTCTGGCTGAAACTGTTTCAGAGCTTTCTTAACATTAACAGCTTCATCAAGAAGCTGTTGAGCTGCCTTGAGATACTTTGAGTCGTGTATGGTTCGAGTAAACCCTGAAACCACTTGTGTTGCATACTCGTTGTTATTGCCTCTCGATGTCTCCATCTGCGAGCTGAGGCCTAAAGACAGTCCTTGTCCTGTGGTGGGACGCATCATCACCGGGAAGCCGTTTCTGTCAGTGTCTTCTTGATCTCTCCAAGAACCAGAATCTTGAATCTCCAGCATTTGTGAAGCTCCACCAAAACTTGACAGTGCTTGAATCTCTTTTGAAGCTGAGACATTGTTAGCTTCTCCAGGAAACGTCTCGGAGTAAGAAATCGCAGGATTCGTGTAGATCATTGCGTTTCCAGGGACAAATTCGGCTAGATTTGGTCTGGTGTAAATGTCACTTGAGCCACTGCTTTTGTAATAAGTTGCCATAGTCTTCTTCTTCTACTTCTTCTTATGATCAGATCAAATTTATCTGAAACAAGATTTGATCTTTTTCAGATTCAAACACAAACAACAGTAAACCCTTTTCCCATTTCACATTAAGTTAAGAAAATCTTGATTAAAGAAGGAAAAAGGGTTTTTTTTAGAACTTTAAAAATTGGAACTTTCAGATAAAATTTCTCTGCATGAATTTAAGAATTTAAAATGAGAAATAAAGAGAAGGAGAGATTAAAAAATTACCAGGAAATTATCATTTGTTGGCTGCTACTTGCTGTGGGTGTTAAAGGAGACTATGAAATTGAAATCTCAAACTGAAAAAAGTAAAGGAAAACAAATACAATATTTTAACACTTGATGATCCCAAGAACACAAAATTAACAACAAACACTCATCTTCCCCAAATCAGAGTTTTGAAATATAAAATGTTTAAAAGAAATTTCTCCTTTTTGCTGTCCTTCTTCTCTTCCAATGGGTATATTATTTGAATTCATCATCTCATTAACCCCACACGTGAGAGAGACCCATATCATCATCATCTCTCATGTCCAAACATTTTTTACTTAAAGCACATAAATGAAAAAAATGAAAATGAAAAGTAAGTTTTTTTTTAGCTTTCCTTTTTGAGGTAGGTGATAATAGATATTGCTTTAAAGCTGGTTGGTGCCTGAACTTGATTCTTTGATTCTTCTTCTTCTTCTTCTTCTTCTTCTTTTTTGGAGTCAAGTCTCTTTGGTGATGATAAGAAAAGCAAATCAAAATGTTTGATAATAAGAGTATGTTAAGGAGCTTCTATGGTAGATCTAAAACCCTCTCTTAAACCCAATCCTAAACCCTAATTCCTCTCTCTCTATTGCCTGTGTGTCTCTCTCTGGCCTTTTGTTTGTTTGCTGCAATAAAACTTATTGAAGCAATAGCAACCATACAATCCATATTCTGTTTTTTAATTAATTTATCTTGTGATGAAAATTCAAGAATTTCCTAATTGGTTACCAACAAAAAAAAAAAGATATTCCTAATTCTTCTTAGAAGATGTGTTTGTCAAGCATAGTTGAAGAAGAAGACAAAATTTAATGGACATTTTCATATCTAATTTTGGTGCAATACAACATTTTTAATACCGATTTGCACCCAAAAGATATCATTTTGGTTTGTATACTAGTCATCTTTTATAATATTAGAGTGGGAATAATTTGAGTAGACGTGTCAAAAAGTCTACACACGGATGCATTTTTTTTCCCTTTTTATTTGAAAAGAAAAAATATTCACTTTTTTGGTAAGCTTTTACAGTTTCTTCTTCTTTGTCTTTTAAAGTTCATTATTCAACATATTTATTGTTCATATAATATTTATATTTGTGATGGTCCACATGCTAGTAAATAGCTGCATTTCCGATTTGTAAGAAAAAAGTTATATAAAAAAAACTAAAACATTTTTCCTTATCTCTTTCTTATATAAATAATGGAATTAAGTGCCCTTTTTCCCCACTCAGCTTTGTCTTCTTCTTATGCCAATAGTTTCTAGAATTCTAGGTATTTACGGATTAATACCTTTCTTTTCCAAAATGTTTCTCTTTTCACTTTTACTTTCTTCTCAATGAGTGTAGGTCCATATCTTAACATGGTGGAACCATTTATACTTAAATGTTCAAGTATGGCAAACAGCAGATACAGTAAATTCCAACTCAAGACACAATATTGATAATATATACCTCAAATTAATTAACATAAAAGTATATTTTTGCATAACATAGAGTAGTGACCAATATAATTCCTCTTGTGTAAATTTCATGATTTAGTTATTTTGATAATGAAAAAAAAAAGATCTAAGTTTTAGGATACATACGCAACAACAAATGAATATATAATTTTGGGGTGGATAAGTGAGAAACGTGAATTGATGGGTGGCCAAAGGAAAGATGTCTGAAATTGGGTCAGAGATGGCAGAATGAGAGAGACAGAGACTTGGTCAGAGTCAGCCTCAGGGATAGGGAAGAGTGACTTATATATTACGACCAACCAACACTTCTTAATAATAATGATAAGAACAAACAAATAATGCAAAAGATTCAGAGAGAGAGAGAGAGAGAATCTAATCAGACATGAAGATGGGATTTTTTTGGTTGGGGCAGTAAGAGAATTGTGATGTTACTAAGCTTTTATGTTGAACTTGAGAGTATAATGATGCTTTTAATAAGAAGTAATTGATGTCATAGACTTTATAGTTGTCACTAATCCAATATATAATCACATGAGACAATGAGACATGACTCATCTAATCAGATATCAGCCTCTCCAAAGGTGTTTTTACGTTGTGTGTCCTACTATTTCTTGTTATTAAGATAAACGTGTGTTTATTAGCGTTTAAAATGGTTTAGAACTTGTAATTTGAATTTGATTTTCTTCATGATTTTATCTAACTCCATAACAACATAACCAATTACTTTCCCTATACGGGCCTTGAAAATTAAAACAAAGAAAACGACCCTTTGGGCTTTGGATTCTCAATTTCTCACAGTACTATACACAAAAATAAAAATCTCCGTTGCTGGGATTCGAACCCGGGTCTCTCGGGTGAGAACCGAGTATCCTAACCAGCTAGACTACAACGGAAAGTTCTTCATGTAATCTTTTTAATATTATAATGTCTATTAACTTAAAATAACTTCACAGAACCAGAGTCCATTCAAGTTAATCTTATAGCTTTGTTCACGACTTTTATCAACACGGAGACTTCCCCATACTTGGCAATGGAAAAAAAAATAAAAAGTGAAGATGAACCAAACAAGAATCCATCTTGTTTTAAGTTTGCACGATTAACAAACTTTAAACTAAAATTATAACAATTAAGATTAGAGATGATGAAGCAAAATTCAAATAGCTTTCAGGTAAAAACTAGATTCCTTTATAATATAGACAAAACTTATGAGCTTGTCTTTGCTCTTTTCCATACAATAACAACACCATAGAAATCAGACGAAGCCAACAAGTTCTCTCCATGGTTCCACGCAACGCACATTACTGGAAACCTGTGACCCTACAAGCATCCAAATTTTCACAACTCAGTGACTCAAGTTTTCTATAACTTTCAATCTTATACACACAAAAATTCAGATTTGTGTTTCACCTGTAACTTGTTTACACATGTGTGTTTCGGTTTGGTTAGATCGTAGAAGTAGACATTCGAGTCTTCACTCCCAGCAACTATATTTATAAAAGACAAACAACAAGGGACCAAGAGAAAATGAATAAGCAGTTTTTCAAGAGATCTATGCATCATTCACTATGGTATTGAAATTCAAACCTATGTATTCTCCTTTCTCTAGAGATAATAGAGGGCAAAACGATGCTTGGATTCTGTGTATTCGTGGAGCTAATTTGAGTGAGCAACGCAATGTCAGATAGCCTTTTATCTGAAGCGCAACACTGAAACAGCATAACAATCTATTATAAGTGGGGAAAAAAATGAGCAAATTTGAGAAGAAAAAGAAAGAAGGTTGTGTTTGGTGAACCTGAAGAAACACAAGTTTCCGTCCTGAGTACATGTGAGAAGAACAGGACCTGATGCAAGGAGGGAGAAGCTTCGGTACTTCACGGTTGTGACAGGGGACTTGTGATTAGTACGATGGCGATGAGAACGGGATAATGAACCGTTATGGGAATCCATGCTCACTGAATATACAGTTCCCTGCAAATTTTCATCAAGTACATTGTAAGAAAACGATGTCCTTAGATATTCTTATCATGTCATCATTTCTAGCAGAACGAACAAAGCAAAAACTGATTTTAGTCTTCACCGCACAACATAATCAATTTAAAGAAACGTTAACCTGCCCATCCCCACAGAAAATGATTTGGCCAGTATGATCATGGTCCATTGCTGTCACCTCACCGTCGAACATCAATTTTTTAATAACCCTACCAGTGCTGAAATTGAAGACCTACATTGTCAAGCAGAGAGATGTTAGGCATCAAATGAGTAAACGCAAACGCAATACACTGATATACTTGGCTACAAGGGGTAGTGCAGGTACCGTGACTTCCTTGTTTGCATTGCCAGCAGAGAGGAAATTGTTATTAACCTGTTTGAAACAAGAAAATGGAATAATATTTAAACTGAGAAAACCACAACCTTCCTCACTCAATATCTTCACTAACGAATGAGGAAGTAGGGCAAACTTACAGGGTGAAAACGGATACAAAACTGTGCAGAGACTCCATATATAACTCTTATACAAACACCTCTTGACAACTCCCATACTCGTATCGTTTTATCAAGTGATGACGATGCGATGTATTGATTGTTTGACGAGAAGTCAAAATCTGAAAGTATTTAACCAAATAAACAAAGTAAGACCCTTGAATTCATATCAGACCCTACATACACCCTTATGCTCTATCCATTACAGACAACTTCTTTCATACTCTCTACTCAAATCGTACTCCCAAACGAAAGTATAATGCATCATATTCTCAGTTTCATCAAGATCACTAGCAGGCAGGTCTACCCAAGATACAGAACAAGACCAAGAAAACAATACCAGTTAATCGAACCTGTGACATCTTTTGAGTGTCCTGTCAACTGCTTGAGAACAGAAGGCTCTTCCGAGAGATTGCAAACTGTTAAAGTTCCATCTGATGCTCCATATGCAAGTAGATCAGAACTCATGTGGCCAAACTTCAGAACAGTAACTACATAAACACACACAAGACTCATTCTCAGAAGAAGAAATTACAAAGTGAGTCAAATGAAACCCACACAAGATTTTCAAGAATCACCAGAAGATTTGCACTGATCGAAGATGCAATGCATTCCTACAAAAGAGTAAGCATGTTCAACACCACCACGACGATACGGATGATCACCATCACTCAAACTCGAGCTAAAACTAGCTCTTCGGCTCGAAGCCTGATTGACACTCCGTAAATCCTAATATATTCAACACACAATAAGTCAATTTCAGAACAAAATAATTTCCCAGAGACGAAAAGCTAATCTTTTTATCTTTACAATTCCAAGAAACTGAATCTACTTACCCTACTTGAACTAAAGCTCTCCGCTTCAAACTGATGGGAGAGAGGACTCGGAGAAGGTAACCATCGACCACTGATGCATCAACCAGTAAATTTAACCTGACGTCAGAATTTGTATGGGAACATAAATCCGCAGAAAGCAACCAAAAGCACAGATTTTACAATGGAGAATAAGCAATTTTCAAGTCGAAGAACCTGTTTCCTGGGCTGCTTAAGAGGCTTGGCGTTCGCAAATTCTCCCATTTTCGAGGTCTGCTTATGAAATTACGATATGCAACATATCCTTTCCCATTGCATCTCCAATCCTTAACAATGGCGAAAAATCAATCAATTTGAAGCAAGCAATTTTGATTTCTCGAGGTTTTGAAGTGAACGAAGAGAGATATAGAGAGAGCTCACATAACGGCGAGAGATAACGCCAGATTCAGCTTTCCGGTGGAGAAGGATTCGGCGGATTCCGACGTACTGTGGATCTGATTCGGCTGTTGCCGGCTGCATCATACAGCTTAAAAACTCGGGATCCTTTGACTGCTTCTTCTTCTTTTCTTCATCTTTCTCATTGACGCTATCACCGATCTTTACCTCTGATCCGTTTAACCCTATGATCGTCTCAACCTCCATTCTTTGAAAATTCGACGCAGATCAATAGTTGCAAAATTTGGTCGGGCTGATGTTTCTTAGCCAGGAAGAAAATTACGAATCAAGCTGACTCTCTCAACTCTCGACTCTGTAGCTGTTCTTTGATTTGGCAAGTGAACGAATTCGTTTTTCAAATTTGATTCTGCAATTCGAAGAATCATGAAGATGACACAATCAGAAACGAAACTCGGAACTCAGCGTATCACAAATTAACTATTATTACATATACAGCCTTGTATTTTAGTTGAATTTCTTTTAAAACGCTCATGTTTTTTGTCTGGTTTAAACAGGTTCGGTGATTTGCCAAATTCGCAAAAAAAAGAGTCAAATTCGTGTTTTTTGTTAGTGCAATTTACCCCTTTTGTTGACAACTAGTAAATTTCTTTTTTGTGCCCCCCCTTTGGTGTAAATTTGGTAGACTCGGCTTTACATGATTTTCTAAAACAAAGCTTATAACATTACATAAATAGGTTTCACATAAGCAGAGAAGATTTCAGAAATGGAGGTTTCTCTCTTGACCAAAAAAAAAAATCCTACAAGATCCCATGTTTCCTTGAGTGACAAGAGCTCATATCAAAAGTCCAATATTAGTTACAAAAATCAACAGAGACACTCTTTGGATCCTCCTAACAAAGCTGTTGGTTTTTGTTGTATTTTTTAAACTTATGTCCAACTTTTTAATTAGTATGATCAGACCGGACTCATAAATATAATTGATTTTGTGCAATATTCAATTTTTTAATTAAAATTAATATAATTTGTAAAAAGGGTCTTAAATTTTTTTAAAATGGACCCTAAATTCTTACCAAATTCTATTTAAAATTATATGGACCTTGTGCTAATGCACCTGCCTAGAACCGGGCTTGAATATGATATTATCCGTTTTGAACTAAAAGACTTTATATTAATCATAGTTGGACATTATTTATATATTAGACTATTACTCCTTAATCTTTTGATAAGTAGACTATTAGACCAACCCCAATAGTCATCTCTAAGGGTTTAATGAAGGGTTCTTAATAATATAATTGAATAAAAAAATTATGAAGAGTGTAATGTTTAAGACTAGGGTCTAAAATAAGATCTTTTTTTAGTTAAGAACGGGCACCTATCAAGATATGAGTGGAAAAAATCTCTGACACCTAAAATAGGATTTTTTAATTCTAGTTTCTGAATTGCACTTCTATAATTTACTAGATATGGACTCGTCTAAACTATTTAATCACGATATGTGTCAAAATCTTAATCGCAAAATTTGACAAGTGTCACGATCATGCGAATTACTAACATATAAAATTTGCTACATATTTCAAAGGAAAATTGGTTTTCTTCTTTATTTTGCTTCCTCAACTCTGATTGTTTTTATCGATTTATTAGTTTCTCATCTTATTCGTCGATTTGAGTCTAAAAAAATAGTTGGCATAGTAAAATTATAACATATTTTATACATTTATAAAGATGTGAATAATAGATTCCTTTTTCTTCTAGGATTAGTTTTTACTTTTTTCCGAAATTTTTTTTTCTTAATTAAAATATATTATTATTATAATTTTTTAGTATATTTATTTTTCTTTTAGATATTTTACTGTTATATTTTCTTATTTTGTTTTTTAACAATAGTGATATTTTATAAATTTATATTTATTTTTAATTTAATCGTGATACGTGTCAAAATCTAAATTGAATAATTCGCCACATGTCACAATCATATGAATTACTAACTTTGATACATTCAACTTTATATAATAAGATATGTTTTCATGTATTACATTTTTAAAAATATATTATGTTTTAAAAGTTGTTAACATAAGTTTTACTTAAATTTATTAAAAAAGACTATATATATTTTTTTGTTTTTAAAACACCCATCAAAATGTCTCCATTGTATGTTTAAAAACAACAAAATACTACAAAATATCTTATATACATAAAATATATAAAATATTAATAATTAATTAATAAGATCCACATTAGTAGTATCTCCATTGGACTTGCTCTTACTCTCTAATCTTTTATTGTGTGATTTGAATTGATATCCCAACAGTTTTCAGCAAAGTTTTAAATTCATTATTTTTTTCAGAAAACCAACAATCTTATTTTTTGAGTCACGTTGTTGTGGAATCTCCATATACAGCCTACTAAAGTCCCTGTCTTTTTGTTGCTTAGTTTCCTCCAAACTGTTAGGTAGCTATTGAAGAGAGTAAGAACACACACACGCTGATCTTAAAGCGCGTTAAGAATCAATACGCTTACACAATACACACAAACACCATGCAGCCTTACGTCAGTAGCTGACCAAGCACAAACAAATTTCTTCTTTTGTAATTGCTCGATGAAAAAGCAAGAGGCAGGTGTCGATCAAAGATTGGTCAGTAGCTAAAGGACTTCTAGCGTACGTATACGATTGGTTGTATAAATATATCAAAGTGTGAACGCTTTTAATTATATGCAAAAATGAGAAAAATTAAAATGTTCGTCTTTTACTCTTCTTTGTTCTTATTTCTCTGTTCTTCTTCACATGTTCTTGAGTTTTATCACATAAAAGCAGCCCAAGAAATCTTCAGCATTGGTAATTTTTCTGAAAGATATTCATGGTTTCAACAAAAAGTAGTTTTACTAGCTTCCCATGAACTTAAAACTTGAGTTACAAATTGTTGTTTTGCAGGAGATCTTGGGCAGAGTTTTGACTCTAACATAACCTTAACACATAAAGAGAAGAACCAAACAAAAGGGGAATATTTGATGAAAGAAGCACAACATAATATCAGAGGGCATTTCTTTGGATAAGAAAATTTGAGAAAATGGATGATTTATGTTTAGTTGTTCTTCTTCTTGTTTGGTTTTGAACAGCTTAGTGATGTTCTGTAATGGAGGCATAACCACTAGATATGTCAGGGCGTTAGAAGGAACCGTTATTATGCCTCTTGATAGCCATCTTCCTTCTTATCTTCTGACATATCTACTGCTCATGTCTCCATTGCAGAACAGCATCAAGCTGTTGAGAGCCAGACCCAGAATAAGAACAATGAAATATAGATCTTGATTCTAAGAGTGACTCTTTTTAGAAAAATGTCATCTCCTTTTGTAATTTACACTTTTTGTTACAATAATACAACCAAAGCATTCCATATCTAATTGGCTGGGACTGCATATATTTGATCAATTCAAGATGCATATAGTTGTAAAACCAAAGATACTTCAAAGTAAAGATGCAGTTCGAATAAGGAGAGAACTCGTAATCAAAGTACTCTTTTATTAGAAATCACTTAAACAATTCTTGCGAACTTGTTTAATCAGAATAACACACCTTTACAATAATCTCAATCGACTTGTAATGTGATACTGACCAGTTCCTAATATACCTACACAGCAACAGCTGTATTTGCTACAAGAGCACATGAGTGTTCTAATCCCCTCTAGTGCTAACCCTAACACCAAGACCAAGAAGTTCTATTTATACTAACACCATGCCGCACCAGACTTGCCATGTCTTGAGTATCTACCATATTCGCAAATCATCGAATATGGTAACTTCTACATCTTCCTTGATTCCCACGCATCATGTTGTCACGGTTCTTCCGACTTCACATTATATGTGTGTAACACACTTTCCAGCTGTTCCACTGTTCTTGAACTTACAATCTCCTCTTTTTTGCCTGAATGTGACACCTCAAGCTACCTGCCATGTTAGTTTCAAACAGCATACATACAAGCAGAAATCACAGTATATCCAAGCAAAAATCATTCATAGATAGAGTAGTAATGCAAGTTCACATCACTTAGCAAACTACGATTGTTCAAGAATGAGCTAACCAAAAGCAACCGAAAGCACAACAAAGATCCAAAAAACTAAGCCGAGGAAATGGTTCTTAAAAAAATTGCTAAAAGAACAAATGATGTGATCAGTTGGATGCACACCCAACCAAAAGATTGCCTATCATCTTAATCGTCTCTTTCATGCTCGTGTATTCCACCAAGACCGTCATCGGGCTCCTTTCCTCCTTCACTCTCGTCATCTGAATCGTCTGGTGAGTTGTCATTCCTGAGTGACACCAGATTAGGATCATATCGATAATCTCTCCCTGCTTGAGTGCACATACATGGCAAAAATACACAGTGGTCAAATCTGACAAAGGAGAAGTATGAACGAGAGAGAGAACACTTACCTTTGAGACGCTGTTGGATTTTACGGACTGTTTTGGACAGCTCCAGGAGATCAGCAGATAGAGAGGGAACCCATTCCGGTTCCTTTATGCCAGATCCACGTCCTGCTTTGGGATCCATGGTGATTTTGGTAGGGCCAATCAGTGGACCATCACCTCGATCAGCTGGCACAATTCTCTGGAAGTTAAGCAGCTGGTGAATGAGATTCGGAAAAGGAAGGACACGATCAACCGGAGCAGGATGCTTAACTATGGCAAGAATTTGATTATAGACCAATTGTCCAAAGTTAAACTCCTTTGCCATCACAAGTGCATAAACAAAACGAAGCCTATCTTTCACCATTGTAGTCTTGTTCGTAGTTGGCATCCAGTTCCGACAGCAGATACGATAGAAAACTCCACACGTCTTGGAAAGATGACAAGAGCGAAGACCTTCCTAACCGAAGCGATGGTATTCTGTGAGTGCTCCAATGACATCGTTGAGATTAGCAGACATTCAGTCTCCTTTAGGACCATCTTCTGGAAGCAGAAACATCCAATTTATGACAGCTGGAGAGAATTCGAACATAAGGCCCCTGACATAGACATACTTCAAGCCACTCCGAGTTTCCAGATCACCAAGATTAACATAGAATTCTTTGACGATATTTGGACAGTAGGGCTCCACATCGAGCACGGTGTACATCATCCTTGGGCGAACTAGGATCTTTTTCATAAGTCCCAGCTTCGAATCATCCAAAGGAAAGTAGACAGCTCCTGAAAAAAGCGGTGATTAAACGACTGGTACCTGACGGCTGCAGCCTCGGACGAAAAGTCACCGCATGGAAGTTGTCGAGGTCGATCGGAAAACTTACTTGACCTCTGCCAGTTGAGAAAATCTTTACGATTCGCAGAGTAGCGAGGTTCCAAGTCGAGAAATTCACCAAACCGAGGATTACAAGAGTCGATTTGTTCATCGTCTTCGGAAGTGTGAGCAGTAGCCCCCGACTGTGTTGCATGCGACGCGGTGGCAGAGGAATGACTTGAGGAGGAACTCGCCGGCAGGGGTTTC